CTACTTTTATTCTCATTTCAACTGATCTTGTCAAGGGATCTAATAATCTTGTATACTGGCACCAATTTTTCTTTAGCAAAACACTTTTGAATGTGGCTATTCCAATTGTTTCAGCTACCCTAGGAAGGCTACGTGAATAAACTGAATATATTGTGCATATATTGGTAATCCTAAGAGAGGACAATTTGTTATAAGTCCTCATGTTCCCACAGGAATCGCAAATCCTTTGTTACGTTATACATTTGTGATTTGGAGCATGCCTGGCAGATATATTCTAATATTCAACCAAATGCAAATAGCCAAAAAAGTAACTTTGTCATCATATCACCATAATCGCAGGAACAAATGAACACCCCACCCCCCGCCCCCGCTTTCTCATTATTTTTTCTAAATGTACTTTTTAGGAATACAGTGATGGCATTTCTATTAATGAACTCATAATTTTTATTCCTTGGATTTGTATGTCAGTCTTTTATTTTATTAAATACAAATGTATTAGGTCACATATGGTATTAGACTGAATTTTATAATTAAAAAGCCATTGGCTTTGGTGTAGATGTGTGTCTGTGTCTGTTGAGGAGAGTGGGGAATCAGTAGTTTTTCAGTACTTAGGGAAGCATCTCTATTTGAATTGATTTTGTTGTTGTTTACTTGTAATTTTTTAAGTCTAATACTAATGGACACTCATGGAAAAGTATTAATATATATTTTTATAAAGCTTATTTTACCTTAAACATGTAAACTAATCATATGAAGTATCAAAGCCTTTATCTATAAGCATATCAAGGCAAAGAAAACAGTTTCAATTATAGTTTGTCATTCATTCCTCTTCAGATTCTAAATATCTTTTCTAACTAATTTAAGTGTAGTGTTCATTGTTAGTGAACATTTATTTTTTAACTGAAATCTAATTACACATAAATTAACTGTGTAACCAGTTCATCCAATAAAACCCAAGATCATTTGATCACATTTCCAATGTTTCATTTGGCCTATTAACAGCCCAAAATATGACATTTATTTTTTGAAACAATGTCACTATTAGCCACAGAAGTCTATTTACACAAGAGCTTGTTTCATTTGACATTTATTCCAATAACTTGAGAACAATTATTTGCAACTAAATTTAACAGTATTTGTACGAGTACTTTCAAGCTAAAGTACTGCTAAAAAATTTCAACATGCATGTAATTCAATATGTTTACATAATAACATAATTTATTATAAAATCTGTGACTCTAAGCACTTTATGGAATATGAATAAAGGAGTCATTCTACCCTCTACTGTAACATGGCCACATCTGAGAAAGGAGAGGCTGCTGAGCAGAAGAGTCCTGTGTTCAATTTTGTTGAAATGGGTTGGCTACTCGGACTGTTCGGGACTACTACTGTGCTATCATAGCATTGCTTGATAGCTCAATTCACATCAAACTGCAGAAGACTTGCAAGCCCAAGCCGTTAGCCACCAACAAACTGGTAGCACAAGCAGCCTTGGCAAAACACAGTTACTATGCAGGTGGGCTCTATTTTAAGCAAAGTCAATATTGAAAATCCAAACATACAAAAGAGATAAATTAGAGAATGGTTATTTGTATTATCAAATGGTTTCCTGCTTTATGAAAGAATTCACAAGTTTCCTCTAAATGGCAGCTCCCCAATGCATTTAAAATACAATTTGATTTACAAAAGTTCAATTTACACGTGAATTTTTGCATAATCATTGTGAGAAGCAAAGTACACCTATATACAGTACTTAATTTTCTCTCAGGATTAAGGTGTCTTATGGTATTGATAAGAGACACTTAAGTCAAAATGTTATATTTTAAGCCACTGAAATAGAAAGTAAATATTACCTCTGAAACATGGATATTCCAGAAAATGTAAGTACATTTTTAAATTTTGTATTTACAATCTTGGTAGTCATCTTTACAAAATAGCACTTTAGATAACACAAGTATATAGCTTTCATTAGGCCATACTATTGGGCCTTATTTTGCAAAAATTTGTTTTATTTTATCTTATTTTGGTGTTTTTTTTCCTTTTTAGCTGAGTAATTCTAAAGAGATGTCAGACTATAGCTAGGCTACTTATTATATATCAGTTTTATACCTTACTGCACAGAATCACCTTTAAAAACTCAACTTTTTCTGCATTGCATTACTGTCTCCACTGTTAATCTGGGTGACTGCCATTCAGGTAAGACACTCCCTTATCAGCACTAAGCTCCTTGACAGAGTGAGAGTGAGTAGTAGGGGGGTGGCGTGGAGGGTGAAGAAAGTGTTGTGAGGAGGGTAGAGACCCTGTCCACTGTATGTCTCAGGACGCAGCCTAGAGCTAGGCACCCAGAAAATAAGCACTCAATAACTGCTGAATGAAGAAATGAATGGACTGGGAGAATTGTCTGGATGGCTTTCTTCACTCTAGCATCCAACCCAGTATATTTCTGGAATATGTAGAATCAAAATGAATTTTCAGAGTCTGAAAAATCACAGAACCTCTTTCTTATTCCTTAAATGCTTTTTGTAAAATTCATAAATTATTAAGCCCTTGATGACTTGGAGACATTAAGAAAAATTAAGTCCCATTAGAGGTCAGAGGAAAAAGGAGAGGAAATTGAAGGGTCATTTCTTTACTCACCACAGCTGCTGGAGAGAACTAACAAGGCACACAGGTTGACCAAAGTCCAGAACCAAATTAGGCTCTTAGCAATTGTGTTCAGACTGAGAAGTAGTATTTTTGAGTGTTTCAATAAAAACTTTGCCACAGGTATATTCGGAAACAGTGAAAGCAACTAATTAAGAACTAAAATAGAAGGGAATTACCATTTGTCATTTGAAGGGCCAGACATACAGATACGTTCCTGGCAGGGCCCTGGGAGACCGCATTCTGTAGGCTGGAACCATTTTGCTGTGCTGATGCTCATACCTCTTAAAGCTGCATGTGAAATAAAAGTGAAATAGCAATATCCAGCTGTGGAAGATAAAAATAAAAATCCTAAAATAAAATATGGTCGAAAATGCTTGAGCAGATAAAGCAAAACAGAATATAGTCAGTGGGGATGCTAGTGAGTTAATAAAACTTAAAAGTGTTTATGTTTGCATTAGAAAATAAAGGTTCAAAGTATATGATGTAGGATGATTTTAAATAAAATAGTCTGGAATGCATTCAAATAATTTCATTTAAAAATCTACTGCAAATAAAGTATAAATCTAACAAGGAAGAGGATATAGAATTAAACCATAATTATTAGGCAAAAGAGTTTATAAATTTGAGTTCTTCCAGTAGGCGTCTTTAAAATCATGTCAGTAAATTAATATTAAGGTATCATCGCTCTTTAAATATAATGAGTTAACTTTTTTCTATCGACAATGGCATTTTACAGGAGTGACTTTACTTTCAGAAAAATAAAAATGAGCACTGAAGTGGAATCACTGCATCAAGAGCTCTAGTCATGTAATTTAAGCCTGAAAACGATCTTAACAGAATATATATGCAAATTTGCCTTCACAATCACTTCCCGAAATACCTACCTCTGTATTCTGTATTTATCATTGCATCAAATGAGAGCAGTCAGAAAAGGATTTTTGAAACTCTTGTATATATAAATACTTCACTCAAAGATGAAGTGGTTTCCAGGAGTCTTCTCCACATTCAACTAGCATAATATTCTAGCTCCTCTTCTGTGAAATGTAAAATATCTGTACATTAACTTTCCTGTAGATCATTTCGGCCCACCATTTTCAACTTTCATCTAATGGCTCGAAATAGGACTTATCACTTCTAATCAAAGAATGAGCATGTTATCTTACCACTGTAGATATTCAGAGATTTTATGTTGTTAAAGACATTTTTTCCTTCAATGCCCTTTACGTTATTATATATACACAATTACCTTCTATTGTTTTTACAGACAACTATTTTACACCAGTAGTTATTAATCCAAATCATTTGGATTTAAGGAATTTCTAATTGAAAGCCTATCACATGAATTGTTTATAGTGACAGACAATATACTATTAGTAATTTTAAAGCTTTAAAAGTAAGTTATCCGTATCCACTTCAATCTCCACACGATGATAAAGGATTATTATGTGCAGTAACCTATTTATGAAAAGGAAACAGTGTGCTTCTTTCAGACGCCATCGCTTGCTTTAATAAGGAATTGAAAAGCTGAACTACTTTATATGCAGATCACCATCCCAGTTGCATAAGGATTTACAATAGACAAAACAAAACTATTTTTTGTTGTAAAGAAGGGCTGTTTGTTTAAATCACACAATCATGTTTGCATCTAAAATTATTTACAGTCTAATAAGGCTTCGTAAATGTTATATAGACTTGGTTAATTAAAATCATCCTAATGCTAACACCAAAATGAAAGTCTTGCTGAAGCTGACAAGGAAAACTTCAAGTAACACAAGCCTAAAGAAGGCAGAAGGAAAAAGATGCTTAATGTCTTGGTTTAGGTAACTATTAATCGATTTGGAGACGCAAATGGTACTTGATTTGATAGCACCCCATTAATGCTTCAATTAAACTCAAGAGGAAAATGCTGTTTTGTCAGAAAGTGTTAAATTTGAGAAGGATTATGAGTCTAACCTGTGATCTAAAATAAATAGAGAGTAATGTATACGTTTTTATCTCTGCTACCTTGAATTTTGCAGAGAACTTACTTGGGAAGTTTTAATCTCGCCCATGAAGTCTTCCTTCAAGGTCTTTAATGGCTCATATGTCTTTGTTAAATGAGGTGTGTGGCGGCCTCTACTGGTGTGTGTTTATAGAAAATGTTTCAATAGGCAGAAAAAATATGAATTTCAATTAAAAAGTTAGAAATACAGACTTTTTCATTTAAATATATAAAAATACCTAATTCGATGCAGAAAAATATATTACTAGCTGTGTCATGTTCTTTTAATTAGGAAAATAATCTAAAACACTCACCATGTTAGTGTAAAATAATGATTTACAGAAGGGCATTAATTGCTCAATTCACTCTGATATTGGGTTAAATATATTTTATTAATGAATTATTAATCCTGACTGAGGTGGCTTATTACCTCTAGTCCACTGTTAAATCCCCTTAGTTGACTTAAATAAAATCACTTAAACCCAGAGGAAAGGAAATATTTTATAGTTAAGCCTACAAAGTCCTAGAACTAGAATCATTTGATGACAGGCTGGTTTCTATAACTCAAGCAAACTGTACGTTGACTTAATATAGATGACACATCAATCTATTTTACAGTGTTTTCAGTTTCAAAAATACAACACATTAAAATATTTTCAATTTATCAAAGCTAAAAGCAACATTTAAGTAATGTACTTAAAGTGCGAAGGCACTTTAACACAAAGTAGTGATGCCCAGTGGCTATACTCGGTAACTGACGATGGAAATACCATATATCATTATTTACAAAAGAAGTTGTAGTCACAAAAGATCTTTGGAGATCTTCTACAAAATACACTAAATATCCATTTTCATTTGAAAAGTTTGCCTATTCTTTCTTCAGTCACTATAATCTCCTCTTCCTACTCCCACACTGAAAAACAAAGAAGAAAAAAGAAACAAAAGCATAAACGAAATATATGAAGAAATGCATTGTAGAAACATTCATGTCCACTGATGGTTCCTAAGAAGAGAAGGGAAAAAGAGGAAAAAAAAAAAAAAGGTGGGGAGGAGAGCAAGAGAGAAATAATTTAAAGGAAAACTTGCAAAAGCAAAATCATTACTTCATTCTATCTCCCAAACATTTTCAAAGTCCCCCATTAACACTGGGAAAGGGAGAACAAAAACAAACACAAAAGCTAATGTCCTTGTTTCCAACAGTTCTCAGAGCAGCATCCTCTGATGCCTTAGGGTTGTAAATGATTTCCCTTCACAGCTGACTGATTGCAGTTTGTTTTTCCAGAACTTCGAGGTAGTCCGGTTCTGATTGCGGCTTAGCTTGCAGTAAAGGATGGTTGGGTTTTGACTGCCCCACAAAGCATTTCCTGGGAGTTCCATATAAAACGGTTTTATTGATTCTGTCTTGGTTTTGGCGTCGAGATTCATAGGAAGGGGCAAACTGCCTTTTAGGTAAGGTACAAAAGTTATAGTGGACTAGGCCTGTGCTGGGGAGTTCCTTGACTCGCTCAGCAATATTTTGATACAGCAGCTCAGGCTCTCTTGGTGTGGCCTGCTTTTCTAGCAGCTCAGTGGCACTTATTGTGTAAGCAGGTGTGGCTGGCTCTTCTTTTTTCTCCTCCAGGTTGCTGTAGCTGAACTCTTGCAGGTTTCGGTAATAGGCTACTGGGTCTCCTTCCTTCTGCATGTAGATGGGGTTTTGGCACATCTGACCCACAGGTGGGGGGATATAGTTGTAGACATGGCCATCTGTTTTATCGTGAGTCTCAGTGTTGTAAGACCCATACTGTAATTGAAAGGAACTTACGTCTAAGTTGTTGGTATTCCTGGGAACACTTGGCACTCCCTTTCGGCGTTTCAAGACAAAGACGAATAAACCGGCCCCAAAACAGACAGATAAGATGAAAACAACAAGCAATCCCAGAATTAAGACAGACAGTGGAACTTCAGTGTGTAGTTCAGGATAGGAACTGGGAGACACACTAAGCGACCGAGGTGTGTCTGTATTATGATTCATTGACAAGATGGTTCCATCTGACAAGTTTGGGCTGTCTGGACAGATAGCCTCCCTCCCCAGAAATTTTAGTATCTCCCCTGCATGCTTAGCAGGAGATTCGCAAGTCACCTCATTAATGATGACAGGGGAGTTGGCATGTTCTGTCCAGTCTTTCAACCCCATGATGTCACAAGTACAGTCCCAGGGGTTCTCTTGCAGATCTATCTGGATGAAAGCCGGGAGCTGATCCAGAACCCCTTTCACGGGCAGGTGAGAAAAATGGTTGTTTCTCAGATTCAGCCTGGTTAGGGCCGTCCCCCCAAATATATTATCAGGTAAGGACCGAAGAAGGTTGTTGTTCAGAAACAGTAGCTGTAGGTTAATCAAAGCATCAAAGGTCAGGGGCTTAATTTCCTTAATGACATTATACTCTAAATAGAGATATTGCAAGCTCTGCAGTCCATCAAACATAGAGGGGTACAGCACTTCAAGGTAATTGCCATTCAGATAAAGTCTGCGTAAACTGGTCAGGTTTGTAAAGGCACCTTCCTGAATGACCGCAATCCTGTTGTTTCCTAAGTGCAGTAAGTCCAAAGAACTGTATTCTAAGAGGTCATTCTTATAGACAGTTTGAAGATAGTTCCCTGTTAGGTAGAGTTTCTTTGGACTGGTCGGTTTGGGCTGCAGGTCAGAGATATTAGTGAACTTCCTTTCCTGGCAATTTACGTTCAGACCATTGTCTGAGCTCTGAGAGGTGCAGACACAGCTGCTGGGACAGGTGAGAGGCACAGGAGACTTGGTCTGGTACACCATGATAGGTCCAAAACTTTGCCTGTCCTTTGACACAGTCACTCGGGGAGTTGGACGATTTCTCATTTTGGGCGGCCGGCTGGCTTTTGGAGCCCTGGTTGGGTTGAGAGCAGGATTCATTGTAGGTGACAGCCTTTGGACGTGGGTGTCAGCATGGCTGCCCCTCTGACTGGAGTCACTGGCACTTTTTCTGGGACAGAGGTCTTGCCGGGTCAGCTGGGTCACATCTTTCCCATGCAACCTAAAGGGAGTTTCACAGACAATCTCTCCCACAAAAACAGTTATGGTATCTAGCCAAGCCTTGAGAGGAAGTAAGTCACAAGTGCAATTCCATGGATTTTCCTCCAGCTGAATCTCCATGATCCCTCCAATATGTTCAAGGACGCCAGCAAAAGGCATTACTTTTAACCTATTCCCCCTGAGGTCTAAGTGGGTCAGCAGGACAAAGCGGAACACATTGCTGGGCAGTGAAAGCAGAAGGTTGTCATTCAGGATGAGCACTTTGAGCTTGTTAAGTTTGCTGAATGCCCCGGCCTCGATGGCACTGATGTAATTGTAGTCGGCCTGGAGATACTCCAGGCTCTCCAGGCCCAGGAAGGTGTCCTCCCTCAATATCTCAAGCTTGTTGTTGTTGAGATGCAGTCTTTTGAGAGTTTTCAGGCCACTGAATGCCCCTGTTCGGATCTCCTGTAACCCGTTGTTACCTAGGTGAAGAGTCACCGCGTTGGAGTAATTGACAAATTCGTTTGGATACAGTCTTGTCAAGAGGTTTCCATTGAGAAAAAGCTGATAGATTCGATACTGGGGGGGCTGGAGCAGACTAACTGTTGTAAATCCTTTGTTCTCACAGTTAATATTCAGTACGTTTTCCTTTTCTTCGCACAGACAGCGGATCTTGCAAATGTCTTTGGCAGTTTTGCGACTCTCCGTCTGTAAGATCCCGGCCACGGTTAACACACTGAGGAACCAAACGCCGCTCAGCATCTTTAGGCACCTTCGGTGTCAACTCAGGTACCTACAGGCAAACCTTAGGTGGGGGGCAGGGGGAAGAAGCGGGTGCAGGGAAGAAAGAAACAAGGAAGCCTGATTAAAAATGGTAAAGCAAGGAGGCGGAGTGGGAACGAGGGAGAATGAGGGGGTTGGCAACACGGCAGAATGAAATCATTGCATTTTTCAAAGCGGTTTCTTTTCTCCGCTCCCTATTCCCCCACCCCGAGGCCACCCACACACGTGCCCCGGGAACACACATGCTTGCACCTGATTTCCCGGGGGGTCGCAGCCAGCAGCCAAGTCATTAGTAACCGAGTTGTCCTACTAAATCCTGCCCATCTCCTCCTCCCCTGGGGTATCTCGAAGAGATCTTGGGCGGCTCGCCCGTCTTGAGCTCCCAGCAGAAATCGCAACCGCTTTAGGAAAAAAAAAAGAAAGAAAGAAAAGCGCAAAAAGGGGATGGGAAAATCAGGAATCGGGGGCTGGGGGCAGGGATAGAGGAGAGAGAGAGATGGCAAAAACAGCACGAGGTGGGGGTTACTCACACATCAGGAGAAGACTGAACCCCTCTCCTCTGCAGTCCGCCAGGAGTTTAGCATCTTCAGGAAGTGGGAGAACAAGGTAAATAAGACGCTGCTTTCAGGGGGGATGCCCTGCTTTTTGTTGATTGATTTAATTTGACTGGGGGTGCGCAGAAATTAAAAATCCGACAGGAGGCAGGAGCGGAAGAGAAGAGTTGGAGCGGAGGGAAGCCGAGCTGCCAGGGAGGGACTGGGGTGCGATTCTGTTGGGAGGTCGGAGAGCCGGCTGGCCCGGTCGGCGGGCGAAGGCGACGGCGGAGCCTGGGCGCGCGTTTCCAATTCGGTGGCGGCGGCAGCAGTGCGTCTAGCAGTTTGAATCTGAGAGGCTTTGCAGGCTCCCCGGGACGGGACTAGGGTGACGTCACGGGGGAGGGGGCAGGCAGAGGATCCAGGGCGCGCGGTGGGGGAGGGTTGGGCAGATGCTTCCCTTCCTTGCAAGTGGCTTTGCAAAGCTCAATTCCCGGCTGCGTCAGTTGATTCTGAACTACTCCACCTCCAACCTGGCTGGCTGCAGGAGAAGCTCCTGCAGAGGGGTTTCTCAAGGAGGGGCCCTCCTAATGGGCTGGCACCTCCTTGGGCCCCTCTATGTGTTCTCTTTCACTCCTCCCTCTTTCTTTCACCTACACAATGCCTATGGGGGGCAGGGCTGGGGGTGGGGGGTTCTTCTCCCAGATTCCCAAGCAAGGGAGAAGTGTGTAAGAGTGTGTGTGGTGTGCCTCTTTGCTACAGGACTGTGCCCCACTTGCCAGCTCCTAGCTCAGATGCTCTCTGTGCAGAGAGAGTGGGGTGTGTGTGCATGCACCAATGTGTCTGTGTAGGAGGGTGAGGAGTTCTCTTAGGGGATTTATGCTTTACATACAGAGCCCTGATTCAGTGCTAAGAGAATTCCTTTCTGGGTGTTGACCCGCCAAAGAGATATTTGCCTGGACTCTGAAAGTCAGCTCAACGTTAGCTTACAGACTGAGAAAAAACAAAAACAAAACCCTTTTCTCCCTGAGGTTTATACTTAGCCAGATAATGAGGTTTAAACGTGCGCTTCTTGCCTGGAGGAAGGAGAAAAGAAGTGGGTGTCAGAAAAGCACTGCCAGGCTGAGCCTCAGCTGGGAGTGGGAGCCAAAGGAGGGGTGGTTGAGCCCTCCAGGCTGCAGGGGCAGGGGAGCTAGGAGAAAAGAGGAAGCTGGTGCAGGAAGACTGGCTCCTGAGAAAGAGAGGAGATGTAAAAGGAAGCCTGGCCGGAGACCTAGCTTACCTGGGTTCTGATCTGGCTCTGTTGCTAGATGTGACACTAGCTTCTGGATCTTCCTGTCTCCATCTGCAAAAGGTGGGTAGGTAGACCGTATGAGCCCTCCCACCCCAGCTCTGACATCCAATGTGGGTTTAAATAGCCTTTCCAGAGCATTGCTAATGACCAGGTGTTGGATTTTTGCCTTCATTATCTGTTTTCTCCTTAATTATTGTATAGCTCCTTGGACCCAGGAGTCTTCATTGTGGAATCAATTCACAAGGGGTAAATAATGTCTGCTGTTGCCTGGAAAGGCCTTGGTTGCCTCTAGTAGGAAGGGGGAGATGGGTCAGGAAAAGGAGGGAATCAAATAACCAGGGAAAAGGAATTGACCAAATGATATGCCTGTCCCACAAAACACTTCAGCTTACTTTCCGGGGGACCCACTGCCTGATGAAATGTGGCATAAACACAGATATAACAAACCACTTGAGAACAGAACGCCCCCTGCTTCTCCCCTTCTCCTTCCTTGTTAAGCTTAGGTCCTAGGATTGTTCCCTTTATACAAGCTCCTTTCTCTCCGGGAAGGGCGGGGGTAGTTTATAAACTTAGGCACTAAGGCAACCTGTAGCTGCGGTGATCTGTGCATTATTTTCTTGGGCTTTCTCCCTTTCTCCTCCTTCTTCTTCTAAGAAGAGCCTTGGACCAGGCATCAGGAGCCCCCTTACCCTCTAATTCTTGCTTGGCCTTTAGCAAAATACTTTCCTTCTGGAGACTCCAATTTTCCTTCTCTATAGAGAAGGGCAAACTTGAGATGAGTTCTGAGGCAGAGGGACAGCCCTGCGGATGGCCTCCCACTCTGTATTGCAATTGCATCATGAGATGGAAGCAGTCTGATGCAGTGGGAGCACAATTAAGCTCCCTTTCCTCCCAAAGGAGGCATTTGCTTCTATGTATTTCCAAATGTTAAAAGCACACAGTTCCTACAGCAATAAGATTTATTCATTCAGTCATTCATTCAACAAACATGTATTATGTCCATATTTAACTGAAGTAAAGATGTGAGAGCCAGAGCCGAACAGGACCTTAGAGGTCAGGTTCATTTTACAGATGAGGTCATTTCTCAACCAGGGAAAGTGCTGACTTACTCAAGAAACTACAATTAGAAACAAAACCCAGGGATTATTAGTCCCAGTCCATCATTTTTCCAAAAAAGCACACTACTGCTTAATATGAATTCAGAATCTACTTAAACTTAAATAGTGGTGGTGGTGTTTTACTTAAAGTTATCCTTTTTATTAAAAAAAAATGTATTTGAAAGTGAAACCTCAAATACTAGTTTCAGTTCTCAGATACAGTGATTTCTTTCAAGACACTGATGACGCTTTCAATATTCCTTGAGGACAGATTATTTTTGCTAAAAATTTCAGAGAGAGAAGAGAGACTCAGAGAGAAAGGTGGAGGTGGTTGGGGGCTCATGAGGTTCTTGAGACCTACAGAATGAAGGAAATTCACTGGTAATCTAACTGTGGGAAGCGACACCGGGACTCTGACGGGGTCTTCATTCCTGCCTGTCCCTGAGAGTCCACAGCTGCTTTCCAAAACGTAGTTACTAGGAACAAATCAGCTTGAAACGCGATAACCACTTTAAGTAAGTTTCATTTGGCCCCGTGTCTTCTGAAGAACTGCCGCAACACCCCCCTAGGGAGAGCGGACTTTTAAGGCTGTGGAAAGGTTCAGGGTGAACTGGGACCCCAAGGGAGGCAAAGGCGGTTATTAAAATAAGGAAAACGCTCCCTCTCCTTGCTGAGGCGAGGGAGGCTTAAAGAAGAACTCCGTGGGTCGCCTGTCTCACTCGCATCTAACCCAGTAGAGCCTGGCTCAGGTCTCCAAGGATTCCACAGGACACGGTGGGTGCCGGCGGGCTTACAGCCCACCTCCGTCCCGGTCGCCCATCAGGCCACGAGGGGGCTAAGAGGAGTCCGAGAGCCCAGAGAGGGGCACTGCTCGCCCGCAGCCTCCTGTTCTAAACACCTGCCGCCCGCAAGCCGGGTCGAATCCCATTTCCGAAGGGCGCTTCCGGGAGACCAGGTGTCTCCGAGCGTCCCAGATCGCCGGTAACTGGGCACCGGCCGCAAGCACAGCTCTACCTTCCCTACCGCTACCTGCTAGACGCCTGGTGCGGTGCCCGGCATGCGGCCCCACAGCAGCGACGGCCACTCGGGCTGCCCTCGCCTTGGGGCTTGGGCACTGCAGGCCGACCAGAGGCTTCTAGCTCGCGCCGGGCCCTCCCCGGCCGCCTGTGCCACCCCGCTGCGCGACGCGCGGAGCCCGACCACGCCCGCGCGGACGGTCCAGGGGTGAGGAATCTCTAGTGGGGATTGAGGGTAGAGGACGGCCGCCAGCGAGCTGCCCTCTGCGGTGGCGCCCAGCCTCCCCACGCTGGTCCCCCTCGCAAGGAGAGGTGGCCGGGAAAGGCAACGGACTGAGGAAAGACGGCTCACTGGCCGCGTCGCCACCGTGTCCCTGAGTGCTCAGAACTTACCCAGCGAGCGCGCTGCCCAGATCTTTCCCCGGAGGCTCCCGCAGCATCTGCGACTCGGTGAAGCAAAGGAGCCGGCACCGCTTCGGACTGGCGCAGCCCAGGAGCAGGAGCACCGCGGGGAGCGCGGGCGGCGCCCCCAGGGCAGGCAGATCCCCACCGGAGCGGCTAGCCAACGGGCAACGCTTCTTGCAGGAAGGAGGGAGGGAGACGAGAGGGAGGAGGGAAGTAAAGCAGGAGGGAGGAGAGGGGAAGAAGGGAGGGAGGAGGGAGGGAGGGATCGCGGCCCCTCTCCCTCACTTACCAATCACCCCGCAGATTGCACCCAGGACGGGGATGTAAGAGCCCACAAGGGAGCCGCTGCTCCATTTCTCTGACAAGCGCTGCGGAGCACTGCTCACGCCTCTCGGCCCCTCTTGCCTGGAACTCTGCCCAGCCCTTGCGGCTTCCACCCTGGGCTGCGGCTCGGGCTCGGTCAAGTGAAACAAGAATGGCACACGGTCGGTACCATGTCCAAGGGGAGACTAAGACCACTGGGTGGAAGTTAACGACAAGTGAAAGAGCAGTCAGCCGTCCGAGTTGGACACCCTCCGGGACAGCTGCCTCCCCTAACTAGTAAGCGCCCAATCTTTGGGAGTTCGCAGGCAGATATTTCAGAACCTCCTACGAGGATCGTAAACAAGGACTTTCAACGTAATATAGAGCTGAACTTGAGTTGTGCAAGTGTATTAACAAAAGCAAGCCCTTAGCAGCGTTCCAGTGATTGATTCCCTTTATTCTTCATGACGACGTTGCTGGGATCGTCTAGAGCGTTATTTTTGCCATCTTCCCTTCCCTTTCCTCCTTTCTTCTTCCTCTTATTAGTAGTCCAGGTGGTTGTGATTCTATTAAAGGAAGGCGCTCTGTGAAAAGAGTCAATGTAGTTCAATCGGGAGGTGCGGTTTTTGCCAAGAGCGTTGCGGTTCCCCTTAAGACTTGCTTTGTCTAGGGCCTCTCCTCTACTCTTCCAGAGTATTAGAGATAAAGTAGCAGTTTGATAAATTTATGCCAGGAGTAGGGAGTTCATTTGATGATACTAAGGCATTTTCCCCTCCATCCTGTAGGAGAACGTCATTAATTCCAGTCGTCACCACCGCCTATCCTTTTCATGTCCATTAGAGTCTGCAAAACCCCGAATCCTTCTGAACATCTAAAAGCGTGGAGGTGGAGAGCAGACGGGGAGGCGAGGAGAGGGGTGCAAAATTAGACCCAAAATTACCTCTCCAGCTAGTGGATCTGCATTGAGATTTGTCTGTTTTCATATTTCCCATACCTCACGTTCTCACAGCACTGACAACCACTTTATTCTTGTCCTTCCCGTGGGAATCTTCTGTGCTTCTCCTGTCCTCTCCTTCTTGGCTTTCTTTCATAATGGTTTTCTAAGGAGATTATGCTGGGCTTTTTGAAAAGAAAACTACTGGTAATCTTACATTATGAAGATGTACCGAGTTTGCTTTAATTATAGTCAAAAGAATTATAATCATATCTTTGGAGTTGTAAGGGTCATTACTGTTCCTTTTACTTCATTCTTGAGAAAGCCTTTTTGAAATGTTCCTACCATTCAGAAAAGCAACTTCAGAATAACATAGTTCTCACGTAAGCACATGGGCAGTGTATGTACGGTTATATATTCAGAAGCATTGCTCTTCTTTTTACAATATCCGTATTAGTGTAAACATCCAATGTGCTGTTTGCTACAGACTAAAAACAGGAATGAGCACATCATATTATCAACTAAGTGAGGTCAGTTAATACTGTTACTTCTGTCTTTACCATATTTCTGACTGTGTCATCTTTTCATGTAGTTTTTAGTAGATGTTATAAACAACTGCAAAACACAGGGCTAAGAGGCCATTCGAATACAGAAATAATGAGACAGTCATGCTGAAAAACTGAGACAGTTTACTAAGAAGGGTGATGTGTCTGTAGCCAAAGGGAACATACAAAATAAGCAATAACTTCTATACAGATTAGAGGAAGAACATGGCATTAATGATGAAAAGTGATACTTTATTTAGATCCAGTAGTAACATGTAATAGATGGCAAGCATCAATTTTAATTAGCGTTGTAAGCAAGTCTAACCCATTCACCAGCCTTTGAAAAGCATTTAGCAGCCTGCCTTTCCACATGGGACCACACTGATAGTAAGATAAAATTTAAAAGAGCAGACTTTTCTTTTTGTCAGCATAAAATTTTCAAGTAGGTAGATAGCTGTGCTTTGAAATGCACAGACACAAAAATTGATGAGCAATATAAAACTTTCTGAGAGGGTTTTGCATAGACAGTTATAATGGAGGAGAGTTTGAAGACTGTGAAAAATTTAAATATACCAATTTATTTGAAACCTGCTTTATACTGAATTTTCTAAAAGTTTCTGTGTTAGAGGAAAATTTCCAAATAGAATTGAATACTAAAGATACCATATTCATGTGCTTCTGTTAATTAATAAAAATCACATTACTCTTTTTTATAGTAGCACTGTAAATGTATCTTTATATCCATGTGCTGTTTTCTTTTTTAAAAACTTGTATTTTAGGATCAGGTGTACATGTGCAAGTTTGTTATATAGGTAAATTTCATGTGGTGGGGGTTTGGTGTACTGTGAGCTATTTTCTATTGTAAAGTTCATGTTACTAAGCAGGACAGAGATCCCTGATTGGAAAACTAGTGGAAAAATTGAGAAATAAAACTAAATCTTGCCTGGGTTTTTATAACTTCATTCTAAGATTAGAAGAAAACCAGAAATTTCATCTAGGATGAATGAAATAAAAAGCGCATATGTTTCCAGGATGATGCAAAGGATGTCCTATTACTGTGTAGTACATAATTTACCTGAGAATGTAGTTTTTTCAACTTCTTCACACCTATCTAGAACTAGAAAGCTTCAAAACATATCAAAGAAGACAAAATAGAAACATCATGCAGAGTCAGTAATTCTAAGACACATGTGCTGCATTTTCAGTGAACATTTTTTCTTTTCAACCAAAGGTTTCAAAGAAGAGTTCCACAGAACAAATTCCTAAATAAAGAAACACAACAAAGAGGACATGCCCTTAATATTAGTAATTATAGTTTACAGGATATTGTAGACTTTTGTTCTTGATGTTATTGAAAAGGTGGATATTTTTAAATTCAATTCAATTATTTGGATTATTTGGCAGGCATTTTGGCTTGGTTGAAATAGTGCTGGGCCAAGACCCAGAGCAGTTTTTCTTTTAATCAAATACATATCCAAGCCCTTGGTGCCCAATGACCTGGGTTCAAATTCCACCCGTGCTACTTTCTCACAATGGGACGAGAACAGCATTACACCAATTTCAGTTCCCCATGTGTAAAACTGGCACCTGCTATGTGGAGTGAGTAAGGATGGGATGTATACAGAACTCTTGGAAATTGAACGGTGGTACATATATGTGCAAATAAATCTTAAACTGAAAAATTTTTAAACTCACTTCTTAAAATAAATAAATTATACAAAACATTTTATATCTGTTTTCCATGTTTCTCATGACAATCCTCAACAGGCCAGCATGATTATCCAGACTTTACAAAAGAGGAAAGTGAGACTCAGAAAATTTAAGTAACCTGCCCATACTCACATTCTTGGTGAAATGGTTGATTTTAGTCAGAAACCAATATCTTAATTTAAGTTGGATAATAGAATTAGCATTAGAAAAAATATTTACGATTCCAGTTGTGGCCATGTAATGTCAGACATTTAAAAGAACTTCAAAAAATTCCATCTTTTATTTTACAGATTTTTCAAATAGTTACATATATGTATACATCAGGGCTCAACCTCAACACTATTGATATATTTGGCCAAACGATTATTTGTTGTGGAAGCTGCTCTATGCAATGTAGAAGGATTAGCAGCATCCCTGGCTTTTGTGTATATGCGTGTAATGTACATATGTATATTATATTATATATTACATACATGAAATTATATTATATAAATTACATAAAATAATTATATATATTTATAATATATATAATGCTGGTTATTTGCAGCAAGGAAAGACAACTGTCAATGAATTGATGTTCTGGTTACAATTTTTAAAACATAAAATATATATATTATATAATTTATATAATATAAATATAATGAATTTGTATTAATAATACATTGATAAATTTTATATATTATTATTTATATGTATAAATTTATATTTAATATATATTATATAAATTATGTTAAATATAATATATAATATATAATATAAATATATAATATAAATGTATATTATGTAATATAAATACATGTATGTATAAAATGTGTGTGTATATAAACACCGTAATATTTTTAGTGCTTAAACAATTCAAAGGAACAAAATGCACATTATGACTTAGCAACAGAGCAAAAGCTAGATTCCAAGCTGCCTGATGCTCTGCTTTGTGATCTACTAACTACACTCTACACTCTTTCATGTCTTATGGCCCAAGTACTATCAGTGGAGGCAGGCGATGCATACTGGTGCTGCTCCTCAGAAAGAAATATATTTTACACCATGATCCAGGGGACAGTCATGAATTGAAACATGAGTTTTCCGAAACAATATTCCCCTAATCATGGCCCTGAACCCTGAAATATTATTCTATTGTAGTCGATTTTTTTAAGTGGATGACTGTGACCCACTAAACTGAACTCACGAGTGACTATAGATTGCCTCTTACAGTTTGAATAACACTGGCACACTGGAATGGGCAGGAAAGGAAGGAAAATGGGATAGAAAGGAGAAAAGAGGCAGTAGATCAAGATGGGAAGTAAAGAAATAGAAGGAAAAGACAACTGCATGTCGTACAAATTTGTAGAAAGACTTATGGTGCCCCCATCAGTTACACCAAGTGCCACTTATTAATGACACCTGTTCTCTAAGGACCCTGGATCTCCCTTTTTTGACTGAGTCCAGTGATTTATCAGTAAGAACCATATTTAAGCTTACTAGACTTGGGAGCACATATACATGGCAAAAGCCACAAATTTAACAGATAAGGCTCAGGACAGCATTAGTAGGTATTTCATCTATCCTGACACATTCTATCTTATTAATTTTGCTGCAGCTGGAAGTTATATTTTGGTTTGGAGTTACAACCTAAT